TATTTTTGTTATCACCTTTTATTTTCCTAATTTCTCTAAATGAATTTTTGTTTCATATTCCATAATTTCCCATTTGACTTCCTTTCCTATTTGACATAACAATACCCCTCTCCCCTTCCCCACCCCTTTCCTCACCCTCCCTTAAGATTCCTTGTCCTCAAAGGAAAAATTTGGAAAGTTGTCTCGGAAATCAGAGGCATTTTCCCATATAACTTGGAAAAGGTCCATGTTATTCAAATGAAGTAGAAGTTGAATAATAGGTTTACTGTATTATTTTAAATTGTTTATCTAAGATGTACTGAGGAATCTTCTAAAAGGAGCTTTCTTGAAAAGGGTGTATCTACAATTAAACCTAAACTGGTGCTTTCTTGAGCTGAGAGACATGAAAAGTGACATGAACTTTTCTACCAGCAGAGAATTGCAATTTGTGAGTAATTTGTCTGACCTTTTAGAGGATTATAAAAGGGTCCTTATCTATGGTATTGAGTTTCTAGTTCCCTCTGGCCGTTATTGAAGTTTGTCTGTATGGTTGAAATTGAAAATAAATATAGTTAAGGACAAGCTTGTGGTGCATCAAATTTTGAATTTATGGTGAGATTATGTTTGTTTCTAGCTGAGAATTCTGAATTTAGAGTTTAGATAAGTTCAAGTATCACAAAGAATTATGTTAACAAAGGTACGCTTGTGGTTTGAATTGCAGATGATGGCTTCAAACTCAACGACAATGGAACCACGTTAATGGAGATAGTTATGGGGTTCATCAAATCAATTTCCAGCATTAACTTCAACAACCAATTGTTCTTTATTTGGAAATCAAACTTGAATCATAATTATTGCGTTCTATGTATAAGCTCCTCCAAATGATTGGGAAGTGATTATATTTACTAAGGTTAGGTTGCAGATCAATTCTTTTCCTTTGCCAGAGCAAATTAATGTGCTTAAAGTTGCAAACTTGACTCCACTAGTTTTATTGCATAATAGGAAAATGACTCGTGATAAAGACAAGATGGACAATCCTTTAAATTGTGTCTCTTACTATTGCTTTGAAAGCTTTAGCCTCTTATGAAAGGGAGTTTAGATACCACTATCACTAGGTTCAAGCTACAACATATATAAGACTTATAGAAGCTTTTGGTTTTAGGTCATGCAAAAATGAGATGAAGAAGATGGAAGAAGGGGATATCAAGTTTAGAGTGGTGATTTAGAAAAAGAATTGACATGGGTACTAGAAAAAGAATTGACATGGGTATTGACATGTCATGACACCCACATCATAATATTTAAAATAAAATGACGCATCACATGACGTCTAATATGTCATACTAGTAATAAACAAATGACATGAATATCACAGAAAATTAGTAAATATGATTGAATAATAAAAGATAGAAGAATAAAAAATCGTTAAAACTAGTGAATGGAAAAACAAAAGTAAAAGAATAAGAGAAATAATCTGAATCTCCCTAAGGATTTACCTTGTCTTATTGTCAATTTATAAAGAGTTCTTACCCACATAGAAAAAAAATAGTACATTTTATTTGTAAATGTGATTTTTTTAAAGAGAAACTTAAGCCAATTTTTAAATATTTTTTAAAACTACCTTTATAGTTCACAACGTTTTCGAGAAGAAAAGAAAATAGTGCATCGAACACTGAATTTTACAGTTTATAATATGAAATTAATCTCATATTTCAAATGAAACAATATTCAAAGTGATTTTTTTTACTTTTTGGACGTGCTGTTTTTGGTACATTTTAAGAGGAAGTAAAACAATATATATAAATGCTCATTTTGAAAAAAAAAAAAAAAATCTTGGTTTCTATTCACAGTTTTTTTTTTTATTTTTCTTTCTTCAAACTTTTATCAGGAGATAAAGGAGGCTGGCAAAATAATTCTTCTCAGATTCAATTATACTAGCCTGTTGTTCTGCAATTTAAATTCCTGGATCTAATGGGAGCTCAGGCAACCAAATACTGCTGCAGATGCTTCGTTCTCTTCTTGTTCTTCAGCTTTCGAAATGCACATGACTCAATTTGTCGAATTCTTTCTCTGCTCACACCCATTATTTCTCCAATCTCTTGCAATGTCTTCATCCTTCCATCCTCCATGCCAAATCTCCATCTGATGACCTTCTTCTCCCTTGGATTTAAACTGTCCAACACCTTCTCCAGGTCCTGCTTCATAAATTGTTTGATCAGAATATCTTCCGCAGTTTCTGCTCAGGATCTGCAATTACTTCCTGTGCAAAGAACATGAAACAAAAGCGAAAAAAAAGATCAATATATTTAATGGCGCAAGATTTATTAATACTTCCATTTTTAATTAATGTTGTGTTAGGATGAAGACATACCGAAGGTTTAAGGTTCTGGTTTATCCCAATCTTCTGGTCAAGTGATCTTGGTGCTTTAGGAGTGAGCAACACTGCATTTAACCTCTTCATTGACAGCCCTGTTGCCTCTGCAACTTCTTCGTTGTCAGGCTGTCTACCATTTTCACTATACAATTGCTTTCTTGCCTCCTTCACTCTGTAAGTTGCCTCCACCATGTGGAACTGCAAAGCAAAGAATATTTAAAAAGGAAAACACATTAAATGTGACAATTTTGGTACCAAAGTGACATACTCTACTCCAGTGACTATTAATCAGAAGCAATTCAATTAATTCGAGTACGTAATTTATTTCATCTTAGTTGGCAAAAAAATTGGTATAATGTTAGAGTAGCTTACTGGCAACCGAATCGTCCTAGACTGATCAGAAAGAGACTTCCGAACTGCCTGTTTGATCCACCAGTGAGCATATGTTGAAAACTTGAAACCTTTTGAAGCATCAAATTTCTCTGCACCTCTTACAAGACCCCGGCATCCTTCCTGTGAGTTAAATAGAAGGATTCAGATTTTATGAAAAGCAAAGTTAAGTTTTCCCCATTTTTGTTTATTATTTTTCATAATTTTTTACTGGCTTACTTTGTGAAGGAACTTGTCTAGGATACGAACAATGAAAACAAATACCTGAACAAGATCTTGGAGGTTCATCCCAGCTCCCTGATAATTTTTTGCAATTGAAATAACGAGCCTTATATTGCTTTTTATCATTTTGTCTTTGCAAAGAACTCCATAGTTCAATCGCCTCCTAAGGGTTTTCTGATCAATGCCTGCTGCAGCAGCCCACTGCCCAAAGGTTGGCTGACCCCCACATCGCTCCGCAAGCTCCTCCTGGAGCTTTTCCAATTTTAGTAGATCCTAGACCAAAGTGATGAAAGATTAGACTTGTACATTTAGTCAACATAAAGAACTTCATAGGAATTCACTTCAAGCATCCTAAAGCTAGGAACGGTGTTGAAACTAACATTTTCCATGTTCCTAAACATCATGCATCTAAAACAAAAACATAGAAGCCTTCATGCCACAACAACGAGAATAGTCTTCAAACAACCAGAACCTACAATTTACAACGCGGTTATTTATGATGCCCAAACATCACAGATCGGGAACAAAAACCAGTTTTTTTCTATAAAGCTTATGGAACTAATTAAGAAGTTTTTTCTATAAGCTTGTGGAGCTGTTATTCTTAAAAATGTTATCATTGTAACTTTATTGCATTAAAAGGCAAAAGACACACTCCAAGTAAGAAATTTTCAGCCACAGAAAAAATGTATATTGTCAAGAATTTTTCTAGAAGAAGTTTTTTGAATAGAAAAAAATGTTTAGTTTATCATTTGGTCTTCCTGTTTTCTTGGAAAACAAGGCTTCCTTGATACATATAAGTTAAACATCTTTCATACTGATTCCTTACTTTCCTTATCTTTCAGTTAAAATTTGAACAAGGTCTTCCAAGTAGAAAATCTTGTTTTTTCCCAATGGAAAACAAGTTCAACTAAACAAATCTTTTTTCCTGTTTCCTAAAAACTGTTACGCTATTCTGTTAAATTTACCAATTCCCTATATTTTTAGGAAACAAATGTAAAAAATGGAGATACAAAGAGAAAATAAAGAATGAAATTTGAAGCACCATAGGT